GTATATGTCCAATATTATCTTATTACTTTTGATAGATTGCAAGAATAACAATAAACTTGCATAGAATAATTTGCTAACCTCTCTCTCATTGTTGGAGAAGGTTTATATACAAATTTGTGAAAAAAAAAAAAATTATTGGGACTGCAATCAAATTCAAATTGCAATTTCGATATTCCCATGATTATGCACTAAGATCGGGTTATCATTGCTGTTGATTTGATATCTTTCAAAATATCCGAGATTTGAGCTTATCCTTGGTTTGTCGAACAATTGCCAGAGTTGGTCATGACTAGCTTGTACTTGATCGATTTATATCTCGACAAGCTAATATTGAGTCGGATAAGTGGTGAGTTGAACTAATTAAGGGTCAAACTATATTCTCACGGGCTTCTGACTTCTCCAAGTCTAATGAAAAAATCACACACAACAAACATGGATTAGAACAACTCTATATTGAGATTTAAGCAAGTTTAATTGTTAAACAGAAAAAAGTATTTCTTCCCTTTCAAATAAAGAAGTGTGTATTATTTGGAATATCATTTTTAATAATAGATGCAATGAAAATGTCATCATGTTACATAGTACGTGGTTATTTGTTATGAGAAAACTTATAATATTTATTTATTGTAAGATGTTAATGCCATGATTCTTTGATCATATTATATAATTTGAAAACCTTCGTGTTGAAGGAAGAATAAAGTGTGAAATAAAACATGGCTAAGTGTTTAGCATGAAGATATATGCTCATAGGTACTTTTCGTTTTAAGGTTCTTATTATGCTTGTTTTTTCTTGATCACTCTACCATTGTTTATAATGCATCAACCTTTTAAAGAAAAACAATCAAGCACTTGGCAGCCCTCATATGATAGTATTGAAAGCCCAGTGAACATTTCATTGTTTAAAAGCTCAACATCGACTGTCATAAACGTGGGCTTTTATGGTGAGAACGTTCATGGGCCATTAATGGTTAACCTTTGGGCTAAATAAAACATAAAAGGCCTAAAGACGAATCTCTTTCAATTGTAACCATTTGATATGACTGAGAAACTATGTGTATGTATTTAGAAGTACCGAGTTTAGATATTTGGAGACAATAGAATTACTTATCACAAGGCCCGATTGAAATTTGATATTTTTATTCAACCATGTAATGTAAGTTTGGTTGGAATTTTGGGAATATATTAGTAGATAAAATGAGTTACCAAGAATTTGGTAATGTAAGTTGTGTGTTTAATTAAACCACCTACCAAAAGGTGAGCAGTTCTTTAATGAGAAGGCCATCGCTGTGGATTTGAAGGGTGGGGTGGTATAAAAGATAATGAAAACTTTGAAGAGAAGGATATACGTGGAGGTAAACAAGAATCCAGGTACGAGTATTATAGTAATGTTGCCATGATGATGCAGTAGTTAAAATAAAATGTTGAAGTTTCTGCTTTTCTTCCATTCTGCTGTTTAGTTTATGAGGTTGATTTTGTTGTTTATATCAGAACTCTTGTTGCCATCTTAATCTCAGCTTGGTTGAGCTTCTCTTAAATAGAGTAATGTTAACGGCCTAATGCAGCCCTTGAATCTTTAATCCGAGGCTTCAGTCTATATATATATATATATATACACTCTCAGTACGTAATGTTTTAAGTTTCAGAACAATATTAGTTACATGTATGATGTATATTAATTCGAAGGTAATGAAAGGGGATATATAAGAAAAGTAATGTTAAGAGTTGAGAGTCGAGAGCATTTTGTCATTGCCAAGAACAATTATTAAGTAAAATATATATGATGGAGAAAATGACTCTTGAAGAATATGAGCAAGTCTCTTTCGGCATCGTATTAAATATGCCACAAATGTCAGAGCCCAAATTTTATCGTTTTAAGTATCATCTGTTCTTCTGATGTTGATTGTTCTAAAATAATAATAATACACCCACATTCATGCTAGTGGCACGATTTTAATTGAGCCCTCCTTCTACATTTCTGTATAAAAGTACATGAGGGGACACCATTTTCCCACCCCAAGGTTCGGCGAATCTACAGTTTTTACGTTTAAATTAACAAATAATTGTTTAATCTAATAGTTAAAAAGGTAAAATGTTCATTTCAAAGATAAAAATTTCAAAATAACCATTCACTTCTCAAATTCACCCCACTAAAAAATTTAAAAATAACCCTTCACTTCTCTAATTTATCCCACCGGTGATTTTAGGTCATTTCGGCTTGTTTCCGGCACAATTGACCCCTCCTGACACCACCATTACAATCCCCTCAACCCCTAACCTCCTCGCCTGATTGAACTCCCTAATCGCCGATCGTTGCTTTTAGTGTCAATCGGCATTTCATCCAAATTTCGACAAGTCTCCACACCAAAAACCACCCTCAAGACCACTAATGGCATCGCTAGCTTTCCCCCACCAAAACCCCGAACATTGCCGACTGCAATTGTCCGCCGATCGCTGCCGCCTCTCCTTTAGGTTTTTGTATTTTTTTACCCCTTTCCAACCAAATTCCGGCACCTCACCGATGTGCAATCGGGTGGAAAAGTTAAGGGTTTTAGTGAGGAGGATAAGGTGATGTTGATGGTAGTGTCGAGGAGTTTCAATGGTGCCGGAATTAGGCTAGATTCTTGGCTTGCCTAGGATCCTCTAAGGGTTATTTGAGAGAAATTTGAGATATAGGGGTTATTTTAAGAAAAAAATAACGGCGTTAATTTAAGGGTGGGAATTGCAACTTATGAAACCAGGGGTGGGAACTGGAGATTCGCCAAACCTTGGGTGGGAAAATGTCGTTTACTCGAAGTACATTTACGATTGTAATGATGCAGGAAGATATGCCTCAAATTCTGTTATAAACTTATATTCAGAGAATAAAAGGCCACGTGAATATGGACTTTATGTCCCCAGACCCTTGACCCATTCACGGTCCATCCTTTATTCAATTTTTTTATACCAGATATATAAAGAATATTAGATTTTATCCACCATTATTCATATTTGATTTTTGGCTTGTCGAAATTTCTTTTATCTTCATCTGAAAATAATATTATTTATTTAAAATTTCTCTTGTCCTTGTAACCGTTCATTCTAATTTATTGTTAACTACAGTATTTTATAGTTTAATGATTTTATCTGAGTCTTATTATTCACTACTGTAAGTTTATTATGCATTTTTCTTTTTTATCTTTTATTCAAAATTATCTTCTCTATAAAAGTTTATGGCTAGCATCCTTTCTTAAGGTTAACTATCTCTGGGTAATTGAGTGGTTTGATAGAGAATCTTGGGTATATTACTCAGGAGTCCTGAGTTCGGTTGTTAACAGGAGTAGTCATAGGTCATTAAAGCTTTTACTCAACTGGTAGTTTCAGGGCACTAGGGAATTAGTTGAGGTGTACGTAAACTGACTTGGATACCCTCTGTTGTAAAAAAAAAAAAAAATCATTTTTCAAGGTTACCACCTTATTCAATGATCACCAATAAATCAAAATTTGACGTAAATAATGAAAAAGATTTCCCATCTAAAGTCTCAAGCATTGATGATGATTAATTGAAAAGATGTTGCGAGATTAAGTTCTGGGTTGATATAATTAAAAAGCCATCATACACGAATACTCTCTTCTATGCATGAACATAATTTTATTCATTTTTGTATATAGAATCATAGATGAAGGAAATTACAATTTGATAATATGCAATATCTTTCTCTTATACACTCATGAAATAAAAAATAATAATATAGAATTTATGGGTGCGTTTAGTTTCATATTTCTACTCATATTCCCAATCTTATTCCTCAAATGTTTTTTGACACATTATTTGAAAAATATTACTATATTTTTTTAATTACTTTTAGACCCTTTAAGTTTATTAATTTTATTAAATACCTTCAGTAAAAAAAGTTTAAAAATTAATAAAAACACCCCCACCGACCCATACTTGTCAGATTCCGGCAACCACCGTTAGTGATAGCCAGAATCTGTCACAACGGCTTACATCACGACCGAAACTGGCTGATAATTCACCGATCTGGCCATCGCTCTTGGCCATTGTTAACCAACAACGACGGCCATAACTTTTATAGCCGTCAACGACCACATCTGACCGTAGATCTGGCCTTTTTTGGCCAGATCAATGCCATACCTGCCAGATCCGACTGGTATGTGTCGTTATGTAATTTTTTGGCTATATTCCGACGGTGGTTGCCAGAATCTGGCATTGCAGGTGGAAGAGGTGTTTTGGTCATTTTATAAAATTGTTATATATTGGGGTGTTTAATTAAATTAGCAAACCTATGGGTTTTTTTTTAATAAATTTTTAAATTTTATCTCGTAATACTCTCATATTTAACTATCCAATATTATTTCTAAAATCTTATCCAAAATAATAAAACAAACAGACCTATAACACTCTTATTTAAAACACAAATAAAAAGTAGTTTTAACATTTCTCGTAAAATATATGACTGGAAGAAGAGATGAACAGAAGTTTCTCGAACTTCGAAACATTTTTAATTCATCTTTAGAGTTAAACGCTCTAAGTACATGTGATACATATGGTTTTGCATTGTATTACAAGTTATGGTATATTCTTACATTTAAAATTATTATAATACAAGATGTAATATATCTTCTTGAAATATTGATTTAATGTGATTTTGACACATTAAAAATCATATCATTTGAGATATATGTTAAATTGTTTAGATAAGTATATAACATGTAGAATATCCAATGAATTATTTCAATCTAAAAACAAAGGTACATTAATGTAAAATTAATATAGGATGATAATCTTAATGTTGATGATAACAAAATTGAAATGACAAAATGGTACTAAAAATCTTTTACCCTTCCCTTCCACGAAGAGCCAGGATCTAACTCTTAAGCACAGCAAGGGTCGGGCCCGCACATATCTCTCACCAGTCACCATCAGTTTATCCAAGTTTCCAAATGTCTGTCTCCTTGAAACACCCCTACCTATCCCACACAAAAACCTACTACAAATCATATCCGTCCACGTCACAACCTGTAAGATCGGAATAAACCCTCAGGTGCCGTTGGATATGCTGTCACACGTACAACGCAGTCGGATACTATCCGGTATATCCTTTCGCACAAGTCTCTGCTTTAATTACAAAATTTAAACACCAATAAGATCAAACGCACAACAACTAATCACAACACTTTAAACGAATATTCCAAAGCAAATTCCCCAAACACAATTTTGTTTATCACAAACAAATCTATTTCTTTATAACTCTCTAAGATATTTCCTTTTTCTTCTATATCTCTTAAGCCCAATTAACGTTGCCAGCCTACCCCGAATATAAGTCTGTTGTGAGAAAACACTTTTAATCACCTCACTGTTTTGGTTTTAGAACTAGAAAATGGCAGGATTTGTGAGAGCAAAACGAGTCACCGATCCACTCAACGATAAGGTTAGGGCTCAAATCGTTGGTCATCAACTCAGTTATGTCAGCAGCGGAAGCGAATACTCAGCCGCCGATGATGACTCTCCGTGTTTATCAGAACTCGTTCACGATTTTCTTGAAGACGAGTTCCAGAGTGAGTCCAAGGGTTACGATTCAGATTCTGATCCAACCGACTCCGTCGCTGACTTCACAGATAAGATCGAGGACATCCTCAAAACGAGGGCAAGCAGCAATGTGGATTTATATAAGAATCTACTACAAACTCATGTCTTGAAAGCAATGGAAATGTTTTCGTGCTTGAGACTGCAAAAAAGTGTTTTCAGTCGTAAAGTCATGACCTTTCTACGCGAACTAGGCCACAATGCGGCGATCTGCAAGACGAAATGGAACTCCTCTGGCGGCCTCAACGCCGGCAACTACGAGTTCATCGATGTGGTCCAATCAAATTCGTACAAGTTGCAATACCGGTATTTCATCGACCTTGACTTCGCTTCCGAATTTGAGATCGCGAGACCGACGAATGCATACTCGAGATTGTTACAGTGTCTACCTAGGGTTTTCGTTGGCAAGAGTGAAGAGTTGAAGAGTATCGTGAAAGTGTCGTGCGATGCCGCCAAAAAATCTCTCAAGGCAAGAGACCTGACGCTGCCTCCCTGGAGAAAAAACCGCTACATGCAAAACAAGTGGTTTGGTCCTTACAAACGGACCGTGAATCCAAGTCCGACTGGTTCGTTCCCTCCCCCGGTTGTGCGATCGGTAAATAACGGTGTTAAATGTAGGCGGGTTGGGTTCGATGACGGTGTAAACGGCCGTTTATTTCTCCGGACTAGATGAATGTTCGTCTTTTAGTTAATTAAATTTTTTGTAATTTTAATGAAAAAAAATGAGTAAAGCATAAAGCATCTGGTGTAACGCGGCAAATGCACATCGTGTACATGACGGCGCACGATAGCTGTAAATCACGTGAAAACAATGAGGGTTGGTTTCGTAAATAGAACGACTGAATTTTGACTAAACGTGAACATTGGATGGATTTTATTATTAGTTGGGTTTTGGATTAGGAGGTGAATGACCCACAAGAATACTTCGTCCATCTCTAACCATAAACAGTAAATTAGTGCAAGTTATTTTTAGTGTATTTCATTATCACATTGACGAATTGCATGAAATGTTATATTAAAAAATATTCTTTAAAATATTTTTTTATTAATAATTAATAATTTATTTATTTTATTAATTATTTTTATATGTTAATTAAATATTAAGAATGATATTTTTATTAAATAATAATTATTTTAAAAATTATAATAATTTAATAAAATTAAATATTTATTTAATCAAATAAATATTATCTTTAATATAGAAAAACATTATATCTAATATAAAATGTCACAAAAAAAGACGATAACTTCACAACCACATAAAAGTAAAATAATTTAATTTTCTGAATTAGTATATTTTTTTTCACAAATGATCAATTAACGTATTTTAAAGAGCATAGTGAAGCTATGTATCTTTGATTTGTTTATATCGAATAAGAAAATTTTGAAATTGAACATTTTTATTTACGGTAATTTTAACTTCAGGAATTAGCATTTTCATCTGATTTTCAATTGCATCAATATTACGATTATTTTTTTATTTTTAATCATTTTTTGAATTATATAATTATTATAAATATAAATAATAATTAAATTAATATAAATATATATAATAAAAATAAAAAAATAATTTTTTTTTATAATATATAATTGTGATAGTGTTCAGCTACACCAATTCAGTGTAGTGTCCGCGTTGGATTGGGAGCACATTGTTCACGAGTATTTTGGCATTGGTATGGAGATGGCCTTACACGTAATAACATTGATAATATAATATAAGTGGTTTAAATAGAAAAATATATTCTGAAGAGAAGGATATCGATGAAGGTGACGTGGCAAGATGAGTGATGTGATTTTTCCCATTGACGTGACTTTGGACATGGCGTGATGAAACAAGGAAAAAAGCGGGGGTGTAGTGTAGAAGAGTTAATGAGGGACAAAAGTGGAAAAGTAAAGGTGTTTATTGTTTAAGATAAGGCTTTGTTCTGTCAGAAAAAGACAAGATAAGACTTAAGAGTTAAGAGCAAGTTGAACTAAAATTAAGACATTTGTCTCATGGATAAGGGCAGTTAGATGTGACAGGTGAAGTGGACCAATCAAAGGCCAAAGCTAAGAATGGATTGGAATTGTGTGTAGGTGGAGCACCTCTCCAGTGACGTCCTGGCCTAAGATATCAGCAGCTGGCAGTGCTATCCGCCGTATGAGGTCGAAATGTGAACACACTTACTCTTAATTTATGTTCTTTCAATACATTTTTATGTATAAAAGAACAATTATTTTTTGTTTTGAAAATATATATTAAAATAAATTTCTTGGCATATACTTTTAATATGTACGTATTCAATTCGAAGGGATAAAATAAGGTGGTAACTTTGAGTCGGAATATATAGATACATAGTTGATATAACCGAGAAATGCTAGAGTCAGGAATAAATATTAGAGTGATGATGCCAAATCAATCTTGATCGGTGAAGTCAAGTAATGTAATTATATTTTTAGGATATAAATAGTTAGATCCGGAGTTGAGAATTGGAAAGCATCAATTACAAGTAAAAGGCATTTTTCATGTTGGGGAAAGTGACAAGATAAGGCTGTCCTTAGCAATCGCTAGTTTATAATTATATTTTATCACAGCCTCATCTACTAGTACAATTGTACTAGAGATATGTGAAAATGCTGTTTTATTTCATTTTCACCACAGATTTAATGATTCTAATAACATCTTCTAGTATCTTCGGCTTCATTTGGTTGCTAATTGAAAATATTACTTTTAGTATTTTCAAAAAAGTTAAACAGTAAAATACCCCAAAACTCTAATCTGTAGGAATACTATTTTCAATATTATTCAATTTTTTTTTAAACTTCTTAAATTTGATAATTTAATTAAATACTCTTAAATATTTTTTTAAAAATTATAAAAACACCCCAATAATCTACATTTACCAAATTCCGACCACCACTGTCGAAAAATGGTCGGAATCTGTTAGGATGGGGCACTACTAGCTGAATCTGGCCGGTAGTACGCCGATCTAGTATTTTTCGATCAGATCCACGGTGGATCTGGCCAGAAAATGCCAGATCTTTGACCGTAACAGTTGGTAACGACGGCCAACAAACGATCGTCGTTGACCATCAATGATGACCGTTTGTTAGCCGTCGTTGACAAGCAAATACGGCCAGATCTGATAGTAGATATGGCCTTTGCCGGCTAGATCCACTGTGGATCTGGCCGGAAAAGGCCATATCGGCGCACGACCGGCAAGATCCACCGTGGATCTGGCCGGAAAAGGCCATATCGGTGCACGACCGGCAAGATCCAGCCGGTCATGCGCTAATACGGCGAATCCAACCACTCTCCGGCGGTGGTGACCGGCTATCCGTATTTGAGATTGGGTTGGGGGTGTTTTTATTAACTTTTAATGTTTTATTATAGGGGGTGTTTGTAAATAAACAAATATAGAGGATATTTTATTAATTTATAAATTCTACATTATAATACCTGTCCAATTCAACTTTTTTTTAACTTTTTTCAGAAAACTTTTCCCAAAAACACTCAATTGTGAACCAAATGAAGCCTTCAAATATATATTTCCTAAGAATTTTATTTAACAAGATTTGTGTTTAAATAATAAACCATAATATGGCGGAAGGTTTAACTACCATCTCATCATTATTTAAATTGAATTGATCAGAAAACAGAACAAAGTTTGAGTTGTGAACTATCCTAATTCAAAGTCTTAAGAGAGGACAAACCCGAGGGACAGGTTTGGCGTACACGGGTTTCAAAATTATAGTATATAATTTAAGGCGTTTGTATATGTCTGATTCTGAACATTAACCTTATAAAAAGATCGCCAAACCAGCGTTCTATTATCACTATATTTTATAATCATTTTTAGGTAATTATTTAACTGATGTGACTTGGGTGGATATCCTACCACTTTGACCGCACCAACCTTGCTTACAGTTTTGCCATTCCTACCTTTCGGTTTTACTAAATGAAAACGATCATGATTTGGTTTGTTTCTTTTGCACCCAAATCTCGTTGGCCAAGTAAAATACCACCCCTCGGTTCTTTTGGACGTTGCACAAAAATATTTAAAGTTAAAAACAACCAAAATATTACTTCTCTTCCTTTCATACTAGTATACTACACCTTTTAATTAGATATAATATAACATTATCTTGTTTTAACAAAAAATGTCAATCAAATTAATATAAATAGCCCTAATCCTGAAGTTCTAAAATCATTAGTAAAACAATGACCATTTTTTAATATTAAAAGACTTTGGAGTCTTCTTTTTCTCTTTTCTTCTTATCCTTAGGCTGGAAACCTGAATGAACTTATAATGTTGAAAGCAATGTTCTGACAACCGGATCGGACCAGACTGTCCGATCGGACCAGTTCGACCGAGAGCCTACGATATTTCTGTTCCGATATCTCATGAAAACCGCCATTTTTCGTTAAACTGGATTGAACCGCCAGAATACTGCTGAGTCGTGGTCCAATCGCCGCTCAATCCTACCGGATTCCGGCATCGTTCGACGGCAAAAACACCACCATTCGACGTGACGGCTTCTCCACGACAAAACCCAACCATTTTCAGTCGCCGTCGTCCAGCCTTTGTCGCTCGCCGTCCACCTAAAGTTCACGCGACCGTCGGGCTTCTTTTGTTGATTCCAACGAGTTCCGACATCGATGGAACTCCCTAACACCACCATCAAATTCGCCGGAACCTATGCATCAAAAGCCCCATGATTCCAACCTCGATTGGCCGTCGATCGTCGCTGCCGCCACCACTCACCAGTTTCTTCACGCGACAGGGGTGTTTACACATATTTCAAACCTTAAGGGAGTATTATAAGGGTGTTTTTGATGAATTTCAAACCTTCAAGGACTAAAATTTTTTTACAGAATACGGTCCAACCGATTGATCCAACCGAAAACCGAACCCTTGAACGAGTCATAGTCCCGTCCGGTTTTCGAAACATTGGTTGAAAGTGAAAAGAGCAGCGAAATGGCCGAAAAGCCTCTGAATGGAAAATTAAAATGATAGATAGGTTTACTCAAAAGCCTGTAAAACCTGATAATTTCTATTCAGAACACATGGAAAATCAAAATGATAGCTAGGTTTACTCAGAAGCCTATAATACCTGACAATTTCGATTCAGAACATATGGAAAATCAAAATGATAACTATGTTTACTCAGAAGTCTGTAATACCCGACAACGGTACTCTCCCAATGCCCAAATAGGGAAAATGCTTCTATATGCAGCGTACGTGATCATACAATTTTTATTGAATACTCCCATGATCTCCTGCAAATATATTCAAACAATCTGTCAATTGGCATGAAAATTAAAATGACTAGATGATTCTATTAGTGCTATATTTAAATATTTTAGTTTCGTTAAATCTGATTTGTTGTTGGAGCACTGATTATTTAATAATCACAATATATAGGCCATCGAATATGCATAAGATCAACAGAAGTACCTGCTGTGGAAAATCTCCATTCTGCATTTGGGAATTTATCAAATATTTTGCAGCACGATGCAACGGTGTTGTATCTCTATCGGCCTGCTCCAATAATTTTAAAACCATGTCAAGCAGAAAAATACAATAAACACAAGAAATATACAACTGTTGAAAGAATTAATTCACAATGGTAGTTTCAAACATCGAAAGAAACTTGACACGGATACATGCACAATTTTACCAATTCAGAAGACATCCCCATTTTTATTATCGTTTCCTTACATTTGAACAAATCTAAAATGAAAGGCACTGCAAATCCATGTAACATTTGAGGAACTGCAGAAAAAGGTTGATCTATACCTGTCCAGCATCAATAAGAGCCAACATAGCCCATCCAGTATTTACTACATGAGACCGGTCTCCTTCAAGATTTGAATAAACCTGTACAGGAACCATATGAAAATGTAGGTATTAAAACTTTTGCTCATAATTTTTTGCATTAAAACAGTACATATCTTATGACTCCATCTTCGCATG